GCGGGTCTCGAACCCACGGGCTCAGGCAATCCACTCACCTCAGCCTCCCAAAGGCGCGGGATTACAGGCTGAGCCACCGAGCCCGGCTTTGCTTGGTTTTTAAAAGTACTCTCGTTCTCGGCGGGACGTGGTGGCTCACGCCGGTAACCTCAGCACTTTGGGAGGCTAAAGCGGGAGGATCGCTTGAGACCAGCCTGGGCAACAAAGCAAGAACCCTGTCCCTACAAAAAAATTTTTTTTAAAGTAGGGATCTGGCAGGGTTTGGTGCCTCAGCCTGTCATCCCAGCACTTTGGGAGGCCAAGGCGAGAGAATTGCCTGAGCAATTCTCCACGGGTTCAAGATCCGCCTGGGCAGTGAGACCTCATCTCTACAATAAATCAAAAAATCAACCAGGCATGGTAGTGCGCGCCTGTAATTCCGGCTACTTGGAAGGCTGAGGCGGGAGGATCGCCGGAGCCCAGCAGGTCGAGGCTGAGGCGGGAGGATCGCCGGAGCCCGGCCACTGCACTCCAGTCTGGGCGACCGAGTGAGACTCCAACTCAAAAAAAAAAGAAAAAGAAAAAATTGAATCTGCTTTAAAAAGTGTAAAAAATTCACTTTTGTTATCTGAACCCTGTGGGAGGCTGAGACGGGATTGTTAGAGCCCAGGAGTTCAAGCCCAGCCTGGACAACATGGTGAGACCCTGTCTATAAAAAAAAAACAACAAACTGTGCGTTTTCAGTCCCCTGGCTTCTCATTCCCGCTTGTACGGCATCCCAGCCTCCCATGTACTTCCAGGCACACAGTGGACACTCGCGGCGTAATTATTGGGTCAGTGACTGAGTGAATGCCGCATGCGTATTGCGCCACTGCGTGCCAGTCCTGGGAACACAGCCTGCACGTGGACACGCAAGTGTCTGCACTCAGGGAGGATTGTGGTTTCCGTGTCTGCCTGGGCTCAGGCGTCCTCGCAGAGGGACACGTGGGTGCAGGCAGACATCCCCCCGCCGGGGGACCCAAGCCACTCGTGAGTGTGAGCCTTAAGCATTAGCTGGAAAGGCGGGCACAGGCCTGCGGCATTCCCATGAGTGCAGGGTTCTCACCTCGGCCCGCGACCCTTTCGGTCTGGAGGGTTCTTTGCCGTGGGGTCGTCCTGCGCACGTAGCGTGCTCTGCCGCCTCTCTGGCCTCTGTCACTCGATGTCAGCAGCCGCCCCTGGCTGGGTCTCCCGGCAAGAACCGTGTCCTGCAGCTGGCCGGCAGAGGTCAGGAACCCCGGAAAATTGAGAGCCCCGCGTAGTTGAGGGAGTCTCTGTGGCACCTTGGAGCACGCACCCCAGGGGGTGGGTTATTCTAGGCTGGAGACTCGAGGGGCAGGGGCCTCCCTCCCTCTCCCCTTGGGTTGTGCCAGCCCCGGCCTGAGTCCTATATGGGTTCGTGCCATAGGCCCATGCAGGTGTCATGCCTCAAATCGACAAAACGACGGTGAACGTACGTGTCATCTGTGGGATATCCCTCCACCCTGATGCTGGGAGGGTCTCTGCGGGGTGGCCCGGTGGGGGACTCTCATCGCCACCTTGTGACTGTCCTTGTCTCTGAGGTTTAGACGTGGGAGGCAGAAGAGCCACGTGTGGGCGAGTTGCTGATGGCGGCTTCCATGCCCTCCCCGTTGGGAGGCGCCATGCATGGGGCGGGCTGGGGGGAATGGGGGTGTACCCTGGGGGGAGGATGGGGTGAGCAGGCTAGGCCTGGCACTACCACCCTGTGAGGAAGGGAATCCTGGTGTGTCTGTAGGCAGGAATGTGAACAGAGCAGGGCTGTTTTTGTTGTTTTTGAGTTTGAGTCTCACTCTGTCGCCTAGGCTAGAGTGCAGTGGCACGCTTATGGCCATCCCAGCGTTGACCTGCTGGGCTCAGGTGATCCTCCCGCCTCAGCTTCCCAAGTAGCCGGAACTACAGGCACACGCCACCATGCCCAGCCAATTTTTGATTGTCAAGTCGCCCGGGCTGGTCTCGAACCCGCGGTCTCAGGCCATCCACTTGCCTCGGCCTCCCAAAGTGCTGGGATGACAGGCTTGAGCCACTGCACCGGAAGGGAGGCAGGCTTTTTTGTGGTTGTGACGAGTCCGGGGTACGTGCAAGGACTTCCCCACATTTGTTAATTGCATACAGGGCTTCCACCAGGCCTCTTTCTCCCGACAGTGGGCCCGGCCCCCCGGGGGTGGCTGTGTGCCCTTGTCCCACCTCCATCCGTGCCCACCACCAGCAGTGTCCAGCATGTTGGCCCCACCCTTGTGCTCCTGTGTCCGGGAATCAGGGCCTGCGTGTGTGTTGGAGCATGGAGTGTTCTGCTCTCTGGTTCCTGGATTGTTCATTTAGGAGGATGGTCTCCGCTGCCTCTGGGTTGCTGCGAAGGCCATGGTTTTGTTCCTGTTTATGGCTGTATAGTATTCCACTGTGTATATGGACTGTGTTTTCTTTACCTCATCCACTTTTGATGGGCACCTGGGTTGGTTCCATGTTTTTGCATTTTTTTATTTTTTATTTTTGTTTTTATTTTTTTATTTATTTTTCTGAGTTGGAGTCTCACTCTCTTGCCCAGACTGGAGTGCAGTGGCACCCTCCTGGCCACTCCAGGAGGCAGACATCACTCCACTGACCTGCTGGGTTCTGGTGATCCTCCCGCCTCAGTCTTCCAAGTAACTGGAACTACAGGTACACGCTACCATGCCCAGCTAATTTTTGGTTTATTGTAGAGATGAGGTCTCACCAAGTTGCCTGGTCTGGTCTCGAACCGTGGGGCTCAGGCAATCCTCTCACCTGTGCCTCCCAATGTGCTGGGATGACAGGCTGAGCCACCGAGCCCGGCCCATTTTTAAATTTTTTGAGTCAGAGTCTCACTGTGTCACCCTGGCTGGAGTGCAGGGGCACGCTCACAGCCACTGCAGCCTTAACCTCCCAGGCTCAGGCGATCCTTCTGCCTCAGTCTCCCGAGTAGCTGGGACTACAGGCGTGCACCTCCACACCCAGCCAATCTTCTAATTTATTGTAGAGACGAGGTCTTGCCATGTTGCCCAGGCTGGTCTCGAATCCGTGGTCTCAGGCAGTCGTCTCAGCTCCGCCTCCCAAAGCGCTGGGAGGGCTCCCAGAGGCCTGAGTCGCTGCGTCCAGCCTGTTTTTGCTATGGCGGATGGTGTGGAGTTGGGCCTCAACGGAGGTCTGGGTGGTCCCGGGCCAGGGGGCATGGAGCAGAGGCTGGGAGGGGGTGAGGCTCATGTCCGGGAACCCATGCAAGGATGGGGCAGGGGCACACAACAGGCGGGGGCGGTGGGGTGTCCCCAGGCCCAGGGGGTGTCTAGAGGGGTGGTGGGGCGGCCTGGGGCTTCTTCCTCGGTGACCAGGAGGCCCTCAGGGTGGGGCTGGCGGGGAGGGCTTGTGAGTTCAGCTGAGCTGGGAGGCAGAGAGGGCTGAGCCCGGGCTGGCGAGGGAACAGCAGGCTGGCTGGGGCTCGGGGGACCCTGGCTGTTCGTCCTTCCGTGGTGTGGACGCCTCTCCAGCTGCGTGGATGTGGCGGCTTCTCTTCTGCGCTGCCATCTGCGCTGGCTCCTGCTCTGTGCAGGCGGGAGCCCTTCCCATCTGAAGCACTGACACGTGATTTCTCGGCACCCGGGCACGGGGGCTCACGCCTGCCAACCAGCGACAGAGCGAGACCTCATTTCTACAGAGCAAAACAAAAATTAGCCAGGTGTGGTGGCGTGTGCCCGTCATCCCAGCTACTCAGGAGGCTGGGGTGGAAGGATCCCCTGAGGCTGCCGTGAGCTCTGATTGTTGTGAGCGTGCCACTGCATTCCAGCCTGGGCGACAGAGTAAGACCCAAGGTGCAGTGGTTCATGCCTGTAATCCTAACACTTTGGGAGGCTGAGGTGGGAGCATCACTTGAGGTCAGGAGTTCAAGACCAGCCTGGGCAACATAGTGAGACCACGGCGCTACAAAAAATTCAAAAAATTAGCCTGGTGTGGTGGCGCACACCTGTCATCCCAGCTACTTGGAAGGCTGAGGTGGGAGGATTGCCTGAGCCCAGGAGGTCAAGGTGGCCATGATTGTGCCACTGTGTTCTGGCCTGGGTGACAGAGTGAGACCCTGACTCAAAAAAATAAAAAGAATGAATACAGAAGCAGGACCCCTGCCCACATTCCCCAGAACCGACTAGAGATGACTTGGGAGCGTGATCCATGGACACCATAGCATGGGATGATCTTCCAGGTTTGCTGGAATATTCCCAGGACTGCAGCCTCTGGGCTAGTGACCAATGAGAAAGGCCAAATCCACTGGCGGAACACCAACCCCGCCTGCCATCCGATCCCGTCCGGTGGCGCCTGAAAGCGAGTGCTGGACTGAGGGTGGGCACCCCAGGGTCTCCGGCAGAGGGGGAGGCCCAGGGCCAGGGCCTGGGACGGGGCCCCTGGCAGGTCCAGGGCTGAGAGCCATTGCATGAC